GGAGGAATGCTAAGGGGTTTGTAATGTGAGGTTGTCTGAAACAAAGTGGAAGGAAGCTTGGAGACGAAAGATTCGGTTTGCATCAGGTCTTGGAAGCATGATAGAAGGAGTGTTTTATAAAAGAAGAAATCATTAAAAGGATTCACACATCCATTTGCATGAATTAGCAAACCTGGGAGAGTGCCTAAAATGGACTACAGTGCTGACCTGAAATGAAGGTCACTGATTTCCCCACAACCTCAATGTCTCAGTGTACACAGAGCATAGTTACATGAACGAACCTTTCCAGCCAGTGTTGAGAGATCATCACCTCCAATTATCTGCATCTCGCCCATGGACTGGTCGTTCTAAAAGAAAAGGGGAGACAACATTTTACTGTACAAGAAAACCTTTAAAGCACGTTTCCCTGTCTACCCGGCCAGTGGCGAGACTGTGCCTTACAAATATAGCACAAATAGCTGGTACAGATTCATGGTTGCCTATGGTTACCAAGAGCCACTCTCCTGCCACTGTGCTTGAGACAAAGCACTCTAATGGCTGGCGGGCGAGTCTGTGTGGAGAGGGCATGGAAGGAGTAGAGAGAGGACAAGCAAACCTAATTTTGGGACAAAAAAACCATGGAAGGTGCCTGAACCTATGCTGAGACAGATGGAACTGGAGGAGACAGTCATGCTCCTGGACTTCCCTGGGGTGAGGGGGTGGCTACGGGAGCCCCAGGAGGGGCCTAGCATTTGTCAGCTGTGCCAACGGGCCTCAGTTACAGCCCTGCAGTGGGGAACAATTAGACTGGCTCCCAGAGAGGTTAGAGAACCCCTCTACTCCCTACCAGCGCTGGTCCAATCCCTCATCTGGTGTTGAGGGCAGTTCTAACAGGCCAAGGCTCAAGAACTATTACAGTCAGACTTTCAGACGTGGATGATGAAGCCTTAGGAACTTCCTGCAGTTCCAGGAATATGAGACCCAGAACCCCATTCAGAAGACGTTATCACAGTACCTTGTAATAACATATAATGGAAAAGAATCTGAAAAAGAATAGATATATATCTGAATCACTGCTGTACACCAGAAACTAACACAACATTGTAAATCAACTATACTACAATTAAAAAAAAAAAGACGTTTCACTCAAATCCTATTAGGGGTTATGAGCATTCCTTTTCACAATATTTATATACAGGACATTATCCTGTCCCAATTAAACCTCACACACACACACACACACACACACACACACAATGAACAAAATATGGATTGTTCCTTAGTATAAATATCACAATAGAATAACGTGGGGGCAGAATGGGAAACAGAGAGCAGGCAGCTTGTTTTCTGGCCTCCTTGCAAAGAGTAATTAAAGGAACCGAAGCAGATATCCTACAGGCAACTGGTTTCATGACCAAGCAAGACTGCTGCAATGTTGCAGTCCCTTCATCCAAACAATAACCTAAGTGAGAAGACACCAATAGAGGGACCAGACGTACACTGTGCTGAACCAGGAAACATCTTCGTTTACTGCTGCGGACAGCTGTTGCTTTGGCTAGTTCACTGCTTTTCTCCTTTATTCTGGCAAGAAGGGCCTGCTTCTTTCCCAGGGGAGTTCATTCCATTTGGATCAGGTGGAACCAGGCCTTACCTGTATAAATCAGCTATGCCCGAAGCTATAACCAACCTTGAACTTTCCAGCTACTTAAGCCAATTCATTCCCTTAAAGAAATTTTCCCTTGGGTTGGTTTGAATTGGATTCTGCCACTTGCAACTGAGAGTCTAGACCTAGAGTTACTTTGTCATAGCACTGGTCACCCAGAAAAGGAAACAAAAAGCCAACCAACCAATGTAACAGTTTTACCAATGAAGCAGCCTTTTATTTTTTTACCTTACTGCTCAAGAGAAAAAAAAAAAAAAGACCTTAAAACGTTCTTACTTCCACTTTGAAAGCATTCATTCCTTACTGCAAAGGAGTGGAGACAATGCTTGAAGTGGCCCATAAGTTAGAAAACCAATAATTTTCTTCTTATGGGAACTGATCTTAAAAGGAGAAAATCAAGGACTGTCCAGAATTCGCTGATCTTTTGCTGTTTTTGTACAGGCGTTTATAATCATATATTCACAAGCAGTCATGTCAGCAGGTTGAGAACTTGTCAAAAATGTCAAAGGAGAAAATTTCCTTGCCACTTCTAGAGGTGCTGAGATAAGAGGAGTTAATATAGGGAGAATTTCTGTGTATTAGACTCACACATGGTAATAGCAGCAAGTAAAGTAAAATTTCAGTGTCTCCAGAGGACTGAGGTATGCAGAATTGGATGGAACAACTAAACCACAAAGTTTGATGTAAAAAATGAGATTTATACTCTGCTAGATCAGAGTAGATTTCACAATAATTATACTATTATCATCTCTATTCAGAAACAAAAACACAACACATCAGAAAGCTGAATACAATGCTCTAAGTCACACATTTAGTGTGTTTTCAAGCAAGTCTTATTTCAGAAGGCCTCACTTAGTCCAAGCTTATAACATATTTTTAATATTAGATTTGCCCTTAATTCATCTGGAATTTATATCTTCCAAGTGTGTATACGGTCAATTGTCCTAATACCATTTATTGAATTGTTTATTTTTTTCCCTACTGGTTTGAAATGTCATTTTTATCATATCCTTCATTCTAATATGCAAGGATCAATTTCTATATACTTCTGTTTCATTAACCGAAAATGTCTATTTCAGCAACAAAACCATACTGTTAAATTATTATAGCTTTTTAGTATGTTTTAGTGTCTGGTAGAGCAAGTCCCAATTTTTTGTTCTTCTAAAAAATTGTCTTGGCTACTTTTGCACATTTATTCTCCTATCTGGTGGGTTGTTAAGAAGATCAAATGAATTAATACACACAGAACATTTAGAACAGAGCCTGGCATATGGTAAGCACTCAGTAGATGCTAGCTGTGACTGATTTCTTCCCTTTCCTCCCTCCCTCCCTCCCTTTCTTTTTTCCTTCCCTCCCTCCCTGGAAACAATCACCCCTCAATCCTCCCTAGTACACTGGAGTCTGGAGCTCCCTGGTTTAATGACTCCGGAAAATATGTCTGGGATGGAGAAGGGCAATTAGAGGTCCAACTTCTCCATTCATATGCTTCCCATTGCCTTGCTGCGTCCAGACCATTCCTCACTCTACCTTCTAAGAACCTGGTAACAAACTAGTAAGCCTTTCAGGAATCCTGTGGCCTGATGACTCCTCTCTACTCTTTGAAATCAGCCTCCATAGACATTTAGATTTCACTTTCTCTATTTTGCTGAGTCAATGCCCTTCCTTAATCAGTTTTATCACCTAAAAAACAACACTGACATCTCTTGCCCACCGAGTCTTCTCCCTTTCCTCTCGTCCTTGTGGGTATATATATATCTTGTTTACTTCTTTACTGTCGTTTCCCTGGGGTTTCAGGAAAAAAAGGAGTTAACTGAATGCATTCAATTCACTGTGTTTAACCATAACATTTTTCTGTTCAAAAACATCCTTATATTCCTAGGATTGATTTTTTTTTTTTTTTTTTTTTACACCACTGGTTTTGATTTGAAACTATTTTCTTTGGGATTGTTCATCTGATCTTCGTAAGTAAGAATGACCTACAATTTTCCTTTCTTTTGCTACCTTTGTGGATTTTTAAACCCAGTTATACAAGCCTCATATGAGTTGGGTGATTCTTTGTCTTCTTTTCTATATGCTAGAAAGGTCTGTATATGGGTGAATGTATCTATTTTGCTAAGGTTCAGTAGAGCTCAGAATAGGTATTATTTAATCCCCAATTTACAAACAAGGAACTGGACGCAGCAAGAGTCTGAGTAACTTGCCTAAAGGGGTACTACTAGTAAGTGAAGGAATCCAGTTCAATTCTAGAATTGCCTGAATTGACATTATTCTTGTGTTAATTATCCCCCGTCCTCCACAATATTCCTAGAAGGTAGAAGTAATAGTACATCTCTGAGAGTAACACGGAGAAGAAACTGGGTCCTGATTATACTAAGGTAGTAAAATATATAAGCTGAAATGGCTAGGAGAAATCTACATCTTGAAAGAAATATTGGTAGCTGTTGTGTGGATTTATTTAAACAGCAAAGGAAATCTCTGATGTATAGTTCAGGCATCCTCAGAAAGAAATATATTGGAAATTTCTAGTTTAGGTGACCTAATCTCCAGGTGCAAAAAAGAGCTCAGCAGGTATGGTGACTACGCAAACAAGAGAATGTGGACTGTTTAGATAATGTTTAGGAAAAAACAAAACCGAGGAAGAATAAATATCCTGAATTCCTTTTGAGGAACCGGAAGGGGAAAAGTAAAGAAAACAAATAAACAAAAGAACCACTCTCTCAGCCATTCATTTCCAAAGTCAGAGCAACCTGCTTCATTCAGAATCTATACACGCAAAGGCTTTCTCCACATGCTCCGCCCCCACAGATGCCTTAACTTTGCTTTTTCCCTCTTCTTTTCAGCCTCATCCTCCCTCTCAGCTCTTCTGTGCTCAGTAAGGTCGTCACTACCATATCAAATGGATAGAGAAGCAAACCCCAAACCAAAACAGTTCATTATAAGAAGCTTTAATGATGAAACCGGAGAGCTTCTAGTGAAAATGTTGCAAACTGTTGAAAAAAATTTCAAAAACTCTAACATTGATACCAAGTCAGATAACAAGGACAGGTGAATCAGTTCCAGTGTTTTCCTTTTAACCAGCTGTTGATGTAGGGTGTGGGTCCCCGAGTCCTTTAAGCAGCCTGGGGTCAAAGTAGAGGTCACAGGGCAGTCAGAGCCGGTGGCTTGTGTGCCTGTCCCTTGCTTCACCCAGAGCAGCTCCTCTTATCTCTGTTATATTAACTGGGTTCAAGGTAAGATGATGGCGGCCAAAAAGTTTGAAAACCCTCATGTCAAGATTTTCTTCCTTTGAAATGGACTTGCCTTCTTTTCAGTTCTTGTTCATTTAAATATCCATTTGTTTCTGTGATCATTTTTGTTTAGAAACTCATTCTTACAACCTATGTGGGTGAATTGTGAGAAAGGAACATGGTGACTGGTGAACAGGCAGTCGGTGTCCCCAGGTCCCCTGGGGACCAGACTTCCTGGGTTCCAGTCCCAGCCCCACCTTCTCTTAGTTGTATGACCTCAAGGAAGCTACTTAACCTCTCAGTGCTCCACTGCTCCTGTCTATAAAAAGAGTATGTCAATAGTTCCCACCTCCTAGGATTATTGGGAGGAGTAAATGAATTAATACGAATTCAGCACTTAGAAAAGTGCCTGGCGTGTAATAAGCAGTTCCTAAAGTAAGCCTTGTCTTCTCATCATCTACTTTTAGTCTAAGAAGCT